GAATGAACTCTTTCAACTTAATGACAAAAATACAAACAACACAATTGAAAAATAGGCAAAGGACTTGAATAGACTTTTCAGAAAAAAGGATATACAGATGTCCAACAAGCATATGAAATGATGCTGTAATTAAAGTTATGTGTCAACTAGATGGCCATCCAGGCTAATGAAGCAAACACACATCTGTCTCAAGACCCTACTCATATTGACCCCACAACCAGAGACCTCCCAATCCTTTTACTTCTCTCTTGTGAACTGAGGTAACAAGGTTGACACAAATACACACATCTGTAGAAGAAGCCTAAGCCTAGTCCAGTGACAAAGACTTGTCACAAAGTTATGTGTCAAAGTTATGTGCTTAGTCTTCATATAGCAGCCTGACATGTTTCCTGCCAATCTTGAGTCTGTATTAGTGGCCTGCCATATTGTTGGGTAATATTGGGTCTGTGCCTTTTTGCTTCTTGATGTTAGGTTTGCCAGCCCCAGCAGCCAACAGCTACCTGAGTGAAGAAAGCCTCTAGCTTCAGTGGGCCAGAAGCAAAAGACAGACTTAAAGCCCAAGGTTGAGGGGCTTTCATCCCACCACTAGAGCCTGGCACTTTGAATTCAGACTTCTATTCTCCAAAACTGTAAGTGAATAAATTTCTGTTTGTTCAAGCCATACTATTTGTGGTATATTTTCTGTTGGAACAGCACAAAGGTAATCAAAACAGATACGTAGCATCATTAGTCATTACCTGTTGCTGTCGAGATGATTCTGACTCCTAGCAATTGTATAACACACACTGCTACTATCCCCAAGAATTTCCAAGGCTATAATCTTTATAGAAGCAGACCCTCTACTTTGTCAAGCATGATGTCCTTTCTCAAGCAATTGGCACCTCCTGTTAACATGTCTGTGGTAGTTAAGTTTGTGTGTTAACTTAGCTGGGCCTGGTTGAGTGGCTGGGCAGTTGGATGTTGTTATTCCCCATGGTGAGATAATTAACTCCATAGTGGAATCTATTGGAGAGCTGAGTAGCTGCTTTAAGGTGGTCTGCTTCCAATATATAAGAAGCAACTTTGAGGAAGGTTTCCAGCTGATGGCATGCTTGAACACTGCATGTAGCCAAGTCATTGTTCAGCAGCCTGGCATGCCCTGCTGGGGTCTATCTACCAGGGACTTGGGTAAAGAACACACCCTACTCCTGTTTCCACATTTTAGGTGTCTGTCAGAGAAGCACCCCACTCTCCTGGTACCATATTCTGTTTTGGTTAGCTTTGTGCTGCTCTACTAGAAAATACCACAAATAGGATGGCTTTAACAAACAGGAATTTATTCTCTTACAGTTTGGAGGCTTTAAGTTCAAGTTCAAAGTGCCAGGCTCTAGGGGCCAGGTGAAAGCCCCTCAACCTTAGGCTTCAACTCTGCCTACTGCTCCAAGCCCACTGAAGCTAGAGACTTTTCTTCACTCAAACAGCTGCTGGCTGCTGAGGCTGACAAACTCAAGGTCAATAGTAAAAAGGCACAGTCACAATGTCACTAAACAACATGGCAGGCCACTAATTCAAGTCCAGAAGAAGTCCTAAGATTGCCAGGGCAACATGGCAGGCTGCTGAACAATGACTCGGTTACATGTAGGGTTCAAGCAGGCCATAAGCTGGAGACCTTCCTAAAGTTGCTTCTTACATAGTGGATGCAGCCCACATCCCTAAAGCAGCTACTCAGCTCTCCAATAGATTCCACCATGGAGTTAATTACCATTCTCACCATGGGGAATAACTATGTCCAGCTGCCCAGCCACTCAAGCAGGCCCAGCCAAGTTGACTCATAAACTTAACTACCACAATGTCCAAAACGCATTAGACAAGCTCTCACCATCCTCACTTCTAAGGAGCATTCTGACTATACGTCCAAGGTAGATTTGTTTGCTCCACTGGCAGTCCATGGTATATTCAATAATCTTCACCACCACCACAATGTGAATGCATCAATTCTTCTTGTCTTCCTTTTCCACCATCCAGTCCAGCTTTCACATGTATATGAGGCTACTAAAATTACCACCTCTTTTGTCAAGCACACCTTAGTCCTCAGAGTGACCTCCCTTTGTCTTTTAACACTTAAAAGAGTGATTTTGCAGCAGATTTGCCCAATGTAATGTCATTTGATTCCTTCCTTGACTATTGCTTCCATGAACATTGATTGTTGATCTAAGTAAAGTGAAATCCTTGACAACTTCAATGTTTCCACTATTTATCATGATGTTGTTTATTGGTCCACTTGTGAAGAGTTTTGTTTTCCTCATGTTGAGGTGTAATCCATCCTGAAGGTTGTATGTGAAAGTTATCACTTGACTTAGCAATTCCACTCATAGGTATATACCCAAGAGACCTGAAAGTAGCTAAATACACAGACACATGCTATTAGTGTTTATTGCAACAATATTCACCAAAGCCGAAGGTGGAAATAACCCAAATGTCCATTTGCAGATTAAAAGGAAAATGAAATGTGGTATATACACACAATGGAATATTATTTGACAACAGTGAGAATTTAAGTCCTGTTTTATACCACAACATAGATGAACTTGAAAACATACCGAACATAAACTTTAAATGTAGACAGATTAAAATTCTAACCAAGTTTTATTGTTGAATTTTGGAGTAAATTTTAGCAACTATGTGAAGTTTTTTGAGCTCTATTTTCTCATCTCTAAAATGAAAATAACATCTAACTCTTGGAGTTTTATGATAGGCTAAAATAAAGAGGCTTAGAACATTCTAGATTTTAAAATAAGTTTTTCAGTAAGTAATAATTACTCTTTCAAAACAACTGAGACTAGAGTCTTTTCTGCATTCCTTCTACAGTGTGACAAAAAGGACGATGATTGTTAGAATATTGTAAAATTCCTTAAACTTTTGACAGTTAGCCTTCTCTTGCCCTTGTGCTCCCTTAAAGTGATTTTAGCCATAACATTTTCAATGGGTCCATGTGCTTGTTCTGTTGGAGAACAAGTAAAAAAAATAATGGCCTCAGCTCTATCTCATCCTACACTTGTCTTCTCTGACCCATTCTCTACACAGCACCCAGGCTGAATTCTTAAAATATAAATTGAACCAGCTCACAACAATTAAAGGAGCTCTGGTGGTGTAGTGTCTAAGGCATTTGATTGCTAACCAGAAGGCTGTTCAAATAAACATCGTAAGCATTTTAAAGGAAAATGAAGAAGGAAACTTTTCAAAAATGGATAAAATAAAAATTCAGGTAGTTGGGGAAATGATGGAATATGATATAACTAATGGTAGAAAACTGGTTGCAAGTGTATTTCTTTAGATTTGTTTTAGTTTTTTTTTTTTTTTTTTAATACCACATGGGGTTGTTGCTTTCATTTTTCTTAATGGTTGATTGCCTAATCCCTAGTCATTTTCTTCTTCAAACCCAGATCCTCCAGAGTAAGATCATTGGGTAATCTCAAATATATGAACTCAATGGATAGCTCTAGATTAGAGGAAAGATATACCCAGGAATATTTCTAATCAAAGATATTTAAAAACTGAATACACCACCTGTTGTTATATTAACTGTATTTTAGTGCAAAAGGTAATGAGGTAGAGGCAATGGTGAAAAATGAGAGAAGAGAGAAAGAAAGTCTCCACTGAAATTGCTCCCTCTGTTCTGCAGAGTTTGTGGTCAGGGCCCCTAGGAAAGACTCCCAAAGGAACAGTAAAGACATTTGCTCTCTCTTAAGACGTGCATTGCTGCTCCTTCACTCAGGAGTCAGAGGCACTGCTGGGTCCACATTTTTCAGATGTGAGTGACTGAATCTGAGAAAAAGAAGCATTCAACTTTTCTACCTTCAGATATTAGTACTCCTATTCCACAGCATCTAAAGGCAAAGGAAACAGGTGGCTGCAGGTCAGGTTCCTGCCCAGGTCCACCATGTTTCCCTTCAGTGTGTAAGTGCCTTTCTCTAGAGCACTATGTTTTGATCTCTTCCTCCGCTTCTAAGAGGCAGAATGAAGAGAGTGAGAAAAAAGTGGGGATAGTCTTTATTTTACTTTGGGCTGATACTATCTTAGTTGAGTCCATGGTGTTTTGTTAAGATATTCCCTAATTAATGAAGTCTACCCTAAAAAGCCTTAATAATTTTTGCATATATTCAGAAACATTACAAACATACCTGCTATTGAGAGAAGATATTTTGATTTGAAAGAACATGGTCGTTTTTATTGTTGGTATTCTCTACTGAGTTTTTTCTACATTGAATATTTTTTTCGGTTTTGTTTTAGTGTATGCCTGCCACAGTAATCTCCACTGGCAGTTGTTCTAGCTGGTCAGGGAGAAAGGAGCTTTGCAGATTTTAGGACTCAATAGGTAATTCCACACAAAACACAACTGCTCCAACCCAACCTAAAAGAAATATCTAGAATAAAGGCTGTTTGAAATCAGAATGTTAATATCTTGAAGGAATTTTTAACAACTATAGGCAGAAGCAGGCATTACACTGGGTATTTTATGCACATTAAAGCATTAATCATCACAGGAACAATAAGAGATATTATTATCATTATTTAATCAGGTACAAACAGATTGAGATATTTCGTTCGTTATATGAAGTGACAAAGTAAGAGGCTGTTACAGCATTTACTAATATACATTTGACACTCTATTTCCTGTCCCCTCTTTTATACTGACTCTAGTGCTATTTCTTCAGCAACAAAGGCAAAGTAATTATATGACTTAACTAATGTCACCCATAAATTAACAACAGACTTGGACTAATTCATACTTAACTTTCTTCACTGTTGTTGTTGTTGTTGTTGTTATGTGCCCTCTAGTCAGCCCCGACTCATAGTGACCCCTCCTTGGGTTGCCAAGGCAGTATCACTAGGGAAGTAGATTGCCCAACCTTCTTTCTGAGAGGCACAGTACATAGGTGTTATCAGTTTCAGTGGTTCTGTGAAAATATTCACCTCAGTGACACCATTCTTTGGTCTTCCAGGACTAAATAACCATGAAGATGAGGAATCACACTCCAGTCACTGAGTTCCTCCTCATGGGAATCCCTCATACAGAAGGGCTAGAAAATGTGCTCTTTGTCTTATTCCTGGGCTTGTACCTTCTCACTCTACTGGGGAACCTGCTCATTCTTCTGGCCATCCTCACTTCCTCTAACCTCCACACCCCCATGTATTTCTTCCTGGGAAACCTGTCATTGTTCGACATCTTTTTCCCATCAGTAAGTTCCCCCAAAATGATACTGTGTTTAATGAGATACACCCACACCATCTCCTACATGGGCTGTGCAAGCCAGCTGTTCTTTTACCATTTCTTGGGCTGCACTGAGTGTTTCCTCTACACTGTGATGGCCTACGACCATTTTGCAGCCATCTGCCACCCCTTGAGATACACAGTCATCATGAGCCATCAGGTTTGCACCATCTTGACACTGGGTACCTGGATGGGGAGCTGTCTGCATGCCTCTATCCTCACATTTCTTGTCTTTAAGTTACCCTATTGTGGCCCCAATGAGGTAGACATTTTCTCTTGTGATATCGCAGTGGTGCTGCCCCTGGCCTGTGCTGATACTTCTCTAGCTCAGACGGTGAGTTGCACTAATGTAGGTGCTGTTGCTCTCATGTGTTTCCTTTTTATCCTCACTTCTTATACTCACATTGTTATCTCAATATTGAAAATCAGCTCATTGGAGGGGAGGCACAGAGCCTTCTCAACCTGTAGTGCCCATCTGATCTCCATTCTGCTCTTTTATGGCCCCGTGATTCTTGTTTATCTGCGACCAGTTTCCAGCATCTGGCTGGATTCTGTAGTTCAAATGTTGAATAATATTGTTACCCCTTCCCTTAATCCTTTCATTTATACCTTGAGAAACAAGGATGTAAAGTTAGCACTGAGAAAAGTGCTAATACCAGAAGGACATTTTTGTGGAGAGTAAGTTTTTATGTCATTATTTTGCCATTTATTCTATTCTGCCTCATAGCATCTCTATGTACAACAGAAAACAAAACAAGACAAAACAAAACAAAAAACACTGCCAGATCCCTGTAACAATTGTAACAATGTCACAATTGTTGCTATGTTCGGGCTCATTGTTACAGTCATTGTATCATTCTATGTGCTTCAATTGTGTCAGTCTATCTTGTTGAGGAGTTTCCTCTTTTTCCCTTACCTTTTACTTTACTAAGCATGATGTCCTGCTCTAAGAACTGGTCCATCCTGATAACATCCTAAGTATGTGAGACAACTTTGTACTACCCTTGCTTCTAAGGAGCATTCAGATTTTATTTCTTCTGAGACAGATTTATTCATTCTACTGAAAGCCCATAGCATGTTCAATATTCTTCTCCAATACCACAGATGAAAAGCATCAATATTTCTGCTGTCTTCCTTTTTTGCTGTCCTGCTTTTGCATGAACATGAGGTGATTGTAATGACTTGTCTAGGTTAGACACTCCTTGGTCATTAAAGTTACATCTTTTTAAAAACTTTGGAAAGGTCCTGTATAGCAGAACTTCCTCATATGATATGTTGTTTGATTTCTTGACTGCTTGTTCAGTTGATATTTATTGTTGACCCAAATACAATGATTCATTGACAACTTCATTTTTTCTTCATTTATCATGATGTTGATGAGCTTCAAGACTTAGAGAGACTAGGAAGAAAAGTCAGGCTTAAAATCATCTTGAAATCAGCCAATGAAAGCTTTATGGATAGTAATAAAACCTGATATGTATACCGACATGGTGAAAACAAGTGTGTCCAACTATTGTAGCGGGAGAATACTTTGTTATGATCATCCCAGTCTCTCTGTTTCAAATTAACTCTCACTGAGCAGCCTCCTGGGAGAGTATTTTGCTTTTCATGTAAATTTTTCCTATTTGGAAAAGAATATGCTGATCCACTCATACATGTGTCTTAGTAGATATGGTCTTTTATTTATTCTTATAAATTTATATATGTTGTTGTATGCCATCAAGTCAATTCTGACTCATAGTGGTGCTATGACGCTAGGGTAGAACAGTGCCATAGGATTTCCAAAGCTGTAATTTTTAAGGAAGCTGATTACCTCATCTTTCTCCTGTGGAGTTTTTGATGGGTTTGAACAACTGATCTTTTGGTTAGCAGCCAAGTGCTTAATTATTGCAATTTGTGGGCTCTTAAATTTATGTATAGGCATTCATTTATAAATATTTTCTGAGTCTTTTGAGAGTAATGCCCTAGGAAACTGACTTAATTTGTCTGACATAAATGGAATTTCTGCAGCAAATACTTGTTGCATGAATTAGTGATCTGTCATGTTAAGACAACAATATGAAGAATGATACAAATTTGGGTCTATGCTAATTGTTATCTTAGTGCTCTTGAGATTTTGTCAAGAAGAGCAGTTCTGGAAAGCTGAAAAACTATGGTATGTATAGATGGTAATGATTATTTCTATTTTTCTTGTGTGCATGTGTGTGTGTGTTTAATAAGTCCTGAAGAAAGTAATTATATGATATTTAAACCCTTTGAATAACTGATTCTTGGAATTACTTAGATGCAACATTAAATATTCAGTTTATAACAGGACCATTGAAAAAAGGGAAATTAGGACATATTACTAACTATAAATAAGGACTGGCTACACTAATTCAGCACTGCTTTTCAGTGACTCAGAGGGAAGAATTTGATGGTCTGAAATTAGGTAACAAGTCAAGTGTATATATAATATTTACATATATAAATAAAATATTGTGTATGTGTGTGTGTGTGTGTATATATATATATATATATATATATATATATATATATATATATATATATATATATATATATATATATATATATATATATATATACCCTCGAATGAATGAACGAACGGACTGCCCTTGAGTCGGATCCGACTCATAGCGACCCTCCTTGTGTTTCCAAGGCAGTATCTCTATGAAAGTAGATTGCCTAACCTTCCTTCTGAGTAGTGGCTGGAAGGTTTGAACCACCAGCCCTCTGGTTAGCAGTCAAATGCCTTGGGCACTATGCTACCAGAGCTCCCATGTATACATACCCTAAGTGCTACAGATGGTTTGTGCTTTACTGTTAAACTAATGCTGATAGTTTAGATCCGTTCACAGATGTAAAGGCCAAGCAATCTATTTCCATTATGATTATGGTCAAGAAAACTCTGTGGATTACAGGTCTACTTTGATATATGTGGTGTTGTTGTAGGTAAGAACTGACTTGACAGTAAATATTTTTAAATTAAATTTATTTATGCATTTATGTGTGTTTTAAAGAATAAGAAAATGTGTAGAAATGTATGATATGTTATCTTTTTTAAGACTTAAAATATGTATTCCATTTTGTTAGAATTGAACTTCTTTGTTAGAATAGAATTTATGGTTATTGTTGTAAAAATGTAGAAAGATCATTTGCCAGTTCAATGATTTTTGCATGCACAATTCAGTGAGACTAATTACATCAATCATGTATGAATATCACAAGTATCTACTGCCAAATTTACCACTTGAGAGAAAATTTTTGGGAACCATATATCATCAGATAAGAGTTTGATATTCATAATATTAAAGAACCCTTTCAATTTAACAACAAAAGACAAACAACACAATCACAAAATAGACAAAGGACTTGAATGGACTTTTCACCAAAGAAGATATACAAATGTTCAGTAAGCACATGAAAACACATTTATCATCACTACTCACTGCCCATAAGAGCTCTGGTAGCATAGTGCCTAATGCACATGACTGCTAACCAGAAGGCTGGCAGTTCAAATTCACCAGTCACTCCTTGGAAGGAAGATTGGGCAATCTACTTCCATAGTGATACTGCCTCGGAAACCCAAGGAGGGGTTACTATGAGTCGGGTCCAACTCGATGGCAAACAACAACAACAACAACAACAACAACTCATTACCCATGGCCATCGAGTTCATTCTGACTCATAGCAATCCTATAGGGCAGGGTACTACTGTCCCCAATGGTTTCCAACACTATAATAGGTTTTACAGAAGCAGATTGTCTAAGTTACAAGCAGGATGTTCTTTGCCCAGAGAGAGATTCCTTGTGTTAACATACCCAAAGTACAGGAGACAAATCTCTCCTTCCTCACTTCTAAAGAACATGCTGACTATACGTCTTCCAAGATTTATTTGTTTGTTTTTTCTGGCAGGCTGCCCAAGGTGTATTCAGTTTCCTTCACCAATGCCATAATGCAAATGCATCAATTATTCTTCAGTCTTCCTTTTCTATTGTCTAGCTTTTATGTGTATGTGAGGTGACAGAGAATACCACAGCTTTTGTCAGGCACACGCTAGTCCTCAGAGTGACTTCTTTGCTTTTTAACACTTAAAATAGTTCTTTTGCATCAAATTTTCCCAAGATAATATGTCACTTGATGTCTTTTTTTTTCTTTTTAATATTTTATTGTGATTTGGGTTCAAATTTACAAAGCAGATTCATTTTATTCACAACAGTTCATGCACATTCGTTATCATGGCCCTAATTATAATCTCCAATCATGAAAAGCTCTCATCTCATCTCCTCCCTGTGATTATTCCTTCCCTGTGCCCTTCTAATCTATTCCTTCCTGTCTGTCCAGGTTTCCCTCTAGGTAAATGCTGCCCTTCTGATGTGTCATGGTTGATTGATCTAGGGGGTGTATCTCTCTAGGGTAAGTGTGTGCATCTATCTCCCTGGGGTAGGTGTTCTGCTTGTGGGTCTTTATATTGTTTGGCTTAGAGTTAATCCATGGAAGTGAGTCCAGTTCCAGACCCAAAGGATAACCCAGGGCCATAATCTTCTGGGTTCTACCAATCTCTATCTGACCAGTACTTCTAGTTATTCTATTGAATTTTGTTCCACATTTTTCCTCCCACTCTACCCAGGGGCTCCAATTTTGATCACTCTCTGAATGGTTGGGATTGGTAGCTGGGCACCATCTAGTTTTGTTGTTCTCAGGATTGTGAAGGCTTAGGTCCTCATGGTCCATCATATCCTTGGACTTATTGTTTCCAAATGACTTTGATTTTCTTCATTCTTCTTTGCTCCAGAGAACAATAGCTGCATATTAGATGCCTGCTTGATAGCTTTTAATACCTCAGTTGTTACTCACCAAAGTAGGATGTAGAACAAGACTTTTATATACTATGCTGTGTCAATTGAGTCTGATGTCCCCCAAGACTATGGTCCTGAGCCCATAGGCCTGGTAACTCTCTTCCTCAAGGTGTTTAGTTCTCTCTGAGAAGATACTCCAAACTTGTTTGTTATTTCTGTAATCTATATGGACATTTTTGTAGCACAAGTACATATGTAAGATTATTATCAGCCAAATCTATCCTTGATCTTGGGCACATTCCTGTTTGCGTTCTCACACCTGATCTTCTCACTTGTCTATGCATTTACTCATAGCCTAATGTTTGCTGCCACTGGTAATGCACTATTGTGCATGTAATAGTATTTGTCTATGTTGTCTATATATTTTATATATGTTTCTGTGTCTTCCTTTTTCTGTCATTGCACTGTTCACAAACTTTTTATATTGCCTTTCCCTTACCCAAATCAACATGTGACTCTTAACTAGGAAAAAATTTTCTCTCCCCTTCACTCTCATCCCCTGTAACCAACAAACAGTATTTCCTTCCCTGTGTAAACCTTTCCTTGACTTTTTACAATAATGGACTCATAAGATATTTATCCTTCTGTGATTGACTTATTTTACTCAGAATAATGTCCTCCAAATCCATCTATATTGTGAGGTGATGGATGGGTTCTTCATTATTCTTTAATGTCGCATAGTATTCCATTGTGTGAATGTACTATAGTTTGGTTATCCATTCATCTGTTGATGAGCGCTTAGGTGATTTCCATCTCTTTGCTATAGTGAATTGGGCTGCAATGAACATGGATGTGCATATATCTATTCATGCCCTGGATCTCA